CATTGACAGCAAATCCCGACGAAATCGAAGGTCTGCGTCGAAATTAATTCCAAACAGACATAACGAAAATAATTTACAAGAAGACTTGTAAGACTCGCTAAGAATGAACAAAAATTCCAATAAACGAGGAGACATCACCTGTCAGCCAATCAGCTTCGATGATTCCTCATCCGTTTGGGTAGCGGAGGCAGTAGCATCAGAGAATATCTCCAACGTCGCAGACCTTGTACCAATATATCAGCTGAGGCAAAAGAAGTTCTGAGTTAAAGTGAACCAGGTCGAGGTACTTGCCTCACGTCTTTCTGGAGCGTAAACCAGTAGGCTGATCAACTAGTAACTGTTTCGCCCCTCGTTTCTGGAGGCATTCACAAGATGAGCCGATATCATCACAGGATACATCGTTACAGTGCTATATATGAACTATATATGTCAGTAGGTAGAGAAGAAGCTTCATTCTCACTACCAGTGTCATGCAAAACATGGGGAGGCAATCCGGTATATATGAACTCTCGTAACAGATATTTTGTATGTTGTTGCATGCGATAAATGTTTCTGCCTTGATTCAATATTTGCATAATACAGTTCCATCTGTGAGTACTCAAAAGTTTGACCAAAACGATATTTGCATAAAGATATTCATGCCCTAGAAATCTAGTATTTATCCTACAGCACAGCGTACTTGCAAAGCGATAATTGACAATTAAAACTTCTCATTTGCGGCGCCAATTATTTATGCACGAAACATTAGCAAAATCGAAATATTTTATGCCTTAATGAATAATTAATGAAATTCAAATTGTGATCGTTAATTGCTTAAGTTTTCTAATTTCTGAGGAATCAGCTATGCATACGCGTAAACAGAGTCATTCAGCGAATTGAGCTTTTACTTCGTAACAATCATCCGCTGTTTTGACCACAAACACGATGAGTTTGTTGTTTACAGAAAACTAGCGATTGATAATAACAAAAATATATTTCTCACTTCCATTGTTGTGCCGTCTTAATTCATCTTTCTGTAATATATTCTTTCTTCCTGCCTTCTGTCTTTTTCTTCTAGTTCTACTTTATCTCCCTTCCTCTACCTTTCCCTTTTTATATTACTCTCTCTCTCTCTCTGTCTTTCCCTCTCCATCGTTTTTTAATT